TATCAGAACTGGCAGATGTGGTTGCTCAGTGAGTTACTGCTTTTTCACATACAAAAGAGGAAAATATGCTGTGCTAATATTCTGTTTACATCTCTGGAAAACTCAGCAAGACAGTTGAAATTTCCTCTTTGAGAGATAAAACACATTATGCAAAAGACCACTGAAGTTTAAACATATTAATAGCTTTTTCCTAGGAATGAGTCAAAAGATATGACTTAGGCAACATCTTCATTCTTCTCTAAATTTATATTGCCACTTACATCTCTAGTGCCTATTATGATAGTACAGCTAAAAGTCATTGTAGAGGCATTGATCCAAACATAAAAACAACAGTGAGAGAAGCTTTGTTTCATATACATTTAGCATCTGACATCTTCCCTCATTTGTGCATTAATCAGTAAATGACATATCTGAGCATCCTGCTACAGGAGGTGATTCGACATTCAAAAATTTCCCTAAGAGCAGAAACATCATCAGGAACAATTTCAAGGAAATAATTATGGTCTAGACAGATTTATGACTTCTAAAGACCTAATCCAAAGCACATTAATGTCAGTGGAAGGACTCCCATTGACATCAAAGGCCTTTGGATCAATCCCCAACTGCTGTGGGAATGAATTCAGAGCAATAATGATGGTGGACTAAATGCAAACTTGCAGTTGAAATGTTACCACCCAGACCTTTTTATTTCTCAAATCAGATTAAAAAGTAATTTTCTGCTATTTCACAATTACTTCCAGATGCACATCATCTCAAATGGCATTTCCATCTATCTGTATGAACCAAATGTGCACAGAGATAGAGAAGTTTTACACTGCCTGAACTAATAATACAAATGAAAATCACAAGGGAAAATAATTTTGGAGGTGAAGAAGTTCATGTTTTAAATGCGGAGTGAGGAACCTTGGGCTTTATTTACTCTTTCTAACTACTTTGGGATAGAGCTGCCAGGCCCACCACTTTATTTACTGCCACAGTAAATTTCTTCTAATTTAATATTTTCCTCTAGTCCCCTAAAGAAAACAAAAGAATACATGTGTTAGCCTCAAACTTGGCAGCCTGAAGACTGTCAGAAATGTCAGCTTCATATACTCTCTCCTCCATAACAGCTCTGCTATCCCTTCTGTCCTCTTAAATGCCTATTTACATGCTAAATAATCTGAAGCATCGTTCTTCTCTGACAATGTTAATCAGGTTTCATTCTCCTAGCAGTTGATAATATTTTAGACTGCAAAATGAAATGTAAAATGAGAAACCCAACTTGAAGATGTGACTGATCAGTCATCAACATTGTGTGTTATGCTGAGGTGCAAGCTATGGGAACCATACAATCTTTTACTCACTCCTCTAGCAATACTTCAGTTAGGCAGGTTCAGTTATCACATATTCATTTTGTTATAAACATGTTATGGACTAGTTGAACTCTGCCTTACCAGATTAGTTTTAGGAAGTTTGAATACTTTCTTTAGGAAATTATCTGTAACACCTTTTTGTCAAATAATGGACATCTCCTAGCATAACTCCATCTTTCCATTCCTACTGAAAATCTGACATTAACTCAGCCTCTGTACCCTTCTCTCCACTTCAGAAAACAAGGTTTTTTCACTCATTCTTTATTTACTATCTATGGGAAACCAGATTATTAGTGGCTGGGTAACTTTATTACCTAGGTTCAAAAAACCAAGGAGGTAGAGAACAATTAACTGCTTGGTTTGTTTGTTTGTTTGTTTGTTTGTTTTTTCAATGATGCTGTTGACTGGTTACCAAAAGGTTCTGAATGGGATGGGAATTCAGATGTTGACAGAGGAAAGCAATACTGGCTAAAAGTATCCAAGGAATTAAAAGTGGTTCACAGATCATACACTTTCTGGGCTATACCTGTAATGCAAGTTGTGCCTTAGATATGTCCTACCCACCACCTGCATTTCAAGGAGTTATTTTTTAACCTGGTTTTCTCAAGAATCAAAGCTTATGTGAACAGACTGTGTATGTGTGCAACTTTCATACCACTTTCACCACATCTAATAACTTGGGACTCTCTTGGCCAGTTCAGTCCAATCTGCAGAAGGGCAAAAGTCACAAAGTCATTAAATTCTTACAAGCTTTGTGGAAATAAGTGTCCAGATAAAGAGGGAATCCTATTATTACCCTAAATCAGGGCATCAAAGAATCAATCTGGCATTCATCCTTCAGCTGCAAGTACACACGAATTGCTCAGGAAACTACTTGTTAATCTAGTGCTGTTTCAATATTTTCTTCCATGAAAAATTAACTCGGTGTATTTTAAAACAACAGACACTATTAAGCCTCACAGCTTACTCTAAAAATATTTTTTTCAAGACACACCAAAAGCAGCAACATACTTCAGTCATGATTTGGCACCATCTTTTAGATGAGTTTACAGTTCAGTGCATGTTGTTATCAGAAGCGCACGACAACATTGCACCTGGAATATACAGACTGAAAATGTATGAGTGCTTCAATTTAAATTCACTGGCTTTCATTAGTTTGACACCAATAAGCAAACTATTCCATAATTCTCAAAGGTAGAAGGCAAACCACGGAAATGATACGTGCAAAAACTCTTCTACATTAAGACATATATACATTATGTTAATAGGGAACTGCCCAATCAAACAAACGAGTCAGAGAAATAATATATCTAAGAAAGTTAAATTATCAGGATTATTCTTTCAGGGATACGAACTTATCCAGCACCAAACCATGACATTCCGACCATATTTTTTTTTCTATCTTTATTTCTTACCAGTGTGAATATACATAGTAGGTAACACCAAACCCTTGAATGACACTAAATTGAGAAAGTACCTTTGACGGTAACACTGAACTTCACTACCAAGGAAATTTTGTCTTGCCTTTACAAGCACCTTTAATGTCGTTCCTTCCCCTTCCTTCCTCCACCCCAGCTCTTCATGTTTTTTAATGCCTTTTCAACATGTTCAAGACATAATTCAGTTTGGCCAGCTGCAGGCTGCTTCAGGTCACAGGAGGTGATACAGAACTACACAGTAGTTCTATAACTGAATACACAGTTTATGAAATTAGCTTTACTGGGGTGGATTAGATAAACTGAGCAAACTTAACACACTATGAAAACAATCAGCATAACCAGATGAGCATATACATGAACCAATATATTAAGTATAATTTTCTTCAAGTACAACAAATCATGATATTACTTTTACAATGAAAAGATGGGGAAAAATTTTAGTATCAGTTTTTAAAAAATTTAGAATACAAGTATAACTCCTTTGAGAGGTATGAATATACACAGCTTCAAAGTAATAATGCCCTACTAAATAAATTACTTCAGAGCAAGAGAAAGATTTGCTCCTAATGTTGCCTCTCCTCTACATTTCACGTCTATTAATTAAAAGTCAGAGAAAAAAAAGAACTTGTTTTTTAGTTCTGCATTCAAGGATTATAGTACTGACCTATCAGGCAATGCAGTTACTCCAGCAAAACCTGTCTTTATCCAGGGTGACAACGGCAAGATTTATGGCATGATGGTAAGAAACCTGCTATTCATTTCCCCTTCCCTCCAGACTACCAGCCATCAGGGGGAGCGTGACTGTTACAGCAGAGGAAAGCATACAAGCAACCAGCAACATGACTACTGCTCCCATGAACATTGCTTTGAGATTGGTGAATTGAGTATGGTTAAGTAAAAAGTAATTTCCGAAAAAACAGGTGAATTCTTTCCGTGTTTCATTATTACTATCCAGAAAATTTATGATGAGAAAGACCACTGCTTTCCCTTTCTTAAGTTCTGCAATATTTCAGGCTATTTCTGAAGCTTTCAAGACTCTCCCTTGACTCAAATCATAGCAACACATGCGTTTGGTACATAAATATTTGTTTATGCAAATTTATTTTAATTCAAACATTTAATCTTGCCAGGTAAACATAAGAAAGATAATGCTGATGTACTTTTCACAGAAGACTTAGCTTACAGTTTTAATTTCCTGTTTTTATTAGCTTACCTCACTTGACAAAATTATTAACACATCTTGAGTAGTGCATTTTATTTTCTGGTTCCTCAAGAAAACATTTGGTTGCTACCATCTCATTAGAGGTATCAGCTTTTAACCAGAACAAGTTTTAAACTGAAAAAAGTGATTAAAAAAAAGGTGTTGATTTGCCACCACAGTACTTTAAATGTCTGCTTGCTCATATCTAAAGTTGGTGTTATGGTGACTATCAATATGTAATTAGAAAGAGACAAAGTAAGTAGTGCTGAGCCTCTGCAGAGTACTGTTTTAGAATTATTAAGCTCCTTTCTTGTTTATGCTGCTGGAGTCTATCAAATGACTCTCATGTTCAGACAATCAAGTGACCAAAAAGAATGGGTACAAATACATTCAGAGCAAGAAATAATAATAAGCAGAACAACTGAAGTCCTCACTTGAAGATGAAACAACATTTTTGAGTGAACAGTATGTGATTAACCCACTCCATGTGGTGTCAATATAATTTATTCTCACAGCTTAGCCCTTGGGCCTCACTTGCTATCAAAGACACCAGTCTTCCTCAAATCAGCCCTCCCCTATGTCTAGTCGTCTAGTTAACACTCAGAGCTCTTCCATAGGAAAATTACTAACTCTCACATCCTTCATTTACATTATTTCTGCCCCTGCATAGAAATAAATGTTAGCATAACAGACAGTTTAACAAAGTGCACTTTCTAGTCTCCAGCACATCTATCTGGCACCTGCAATGCTCTAGTAGCCTAAAAGCAGATCTTGAAAACCACAGACAGGGGGAAAAAACACAAGTGTTTATTTTGTCAAAATTCTGAGTATTGCTAGAACAGTACTCTCTTGACCCAATACCAGAGAATAAAAAGCAGTAGACCATTACATTCAAAGACAATTAAGTAGTTCAAAATAGAGGGATAAAACTGGCTTTGTTCCAAAATCTAGCAAAAATGCCACATTTCATTAAAAAAGCTACTTAGTGTGGAGGGACAAACCTCTTACCTTTTGTAGCTATTCGGACACACTGAGTTTTGGTTTCCTGTTGAGGAAGGAAAAGTAAAGAAAACAGATCAGATTGCTTTTTCTTGCCCTCTCCACTCCATAAATTTGTCCTAGATCTGATGGTCTGCTGGAGCAACCCAACAAGGTTGTTCAGGGCTCTGGGCTTAGCAGGGGAGGAGGCTGAGTGATTTTGCCTTTTGAAGAGCTGGATGATATCTAGACATTGGTTTGTGCTATCTGAAATTATTTTCAGAAATTAAACTATTTTCAGAAATTATTAACTTATGAACTGTAGTAAACACTTCAGATTACTTAAATGGAAATCATGCCATAAGACTATGGAAAGAGGGTGCAGTGGAAGAAGAGGGGAGGACTGGTGTTCCTGTTCATGTCATGGCACTGAAATCCTCAGCAGTGTTGACTTCTGACAGCGCTGTGCGGTGAAGAAGGTAAATTTGCTCAACACTGTCTCCAAACTTAGGTCTTCCTGTACCCTGACAGTCTTGAACAGTCACCTGAAACATATCAGCAGCGTGCTCTTCATGCTTCTAAGCGTAGAATGAGCACAGAAGCAGCCCAGGTATCCCTTCACATACGACAGAGTAAATCTAAAACCTATATCTGCCTAAGGAAGTCAGTGATTTGACATTAATGTGCTTCAGAAGTTGCACATGCAAAGACAATTTGTATGTGCTTTACTGGTTCTCCCCCCCTTCAGAAGTTTGGTCAGCAATCGAAACAAATGAACAGAGAAATGATATGGTTATTCAGTTTGGACAACTTGAACAGATGAAGCTCAGTCACAAATGTGTTTTCTGACCTTATTGTACGATGTGCAGTCATTTTAAAGGCAAACGTACTGGAATAGCATAAGGTTGCAGTTGCGTGAGAGGATGCAGCTGCTGCTGTATTAGATCATTCTAAACAACATTAGCATGTAATTAGAAAATATAGTAATGATAGTTTCATTCTATAAAATGTGCTCTGTCTAGTCCTGCTCCCTCCAAGCACTCCATTTCTGACTACATCCCTGGGAACTCTCTCCTCTTGAAGATTCCCAAGCAACAGGTGAAATATGTTGATGCTGTTTTGTAAAGACAGCTTGCAAAGAAGGAGCGAAGCTCAGAGTTGAGCCTTCCCTTAAGTGTTCCATAAAGACAATTTTTTCAATCTAAATGAAAGCCCCTCAAAGTTTAGCAATATAATCTTAACTAATTAGCATTTCCCCCCAATTACTGGGTTTACTTGTTCACTTTTCCTCAAAATGTCTGCAAGGATCAACCCTCACCCCAACCCTACAGAGTACTTCAGAGCATACTTTGCTTCCCCTCCACTATTTTGGTGATACCAGTAGTTTATAGCAAAGCACCTGTTTAAATATTCTGCAACTCAGAGGTTATCTTACAACCAGTAGATCTCTGTCCCAACAGAATGCAGAGCCAATCCCCGCAAAACCTCCCCCTCAAATCCCTAAATAGAAACCTGATCCAAAGTTTTAAAGCATACAAGAGAAAACCGTTTTAGGATTCAACCCTCTCACAAACTGAAATCAAGTTAAAGTACAAAATAATGTGTTCTTCCCTCACCTTCTACTTCCCTGTCAAAGTATAAAAGCCAAAATAAAAATCTATTTATTCTCTTTTGTTTTACTTTTCCCTCTTAACTGTTTCTTGGGGAATTAAATACATTTCCTTACAATTTAATTTGCTGGAAGCCAACTAAAGCAAATGGAATTATTTGTAGCAGGTGAAAGAAATATGGATGAGTGTCTAGCAGTTACCTTTTAGTCCTTTTATTTTGCTTTGTTCGCTCCATATAGGTCTACAGAAAAGAACTAGAAAGAGGGAATGGTCTCTTCCATCAGAAAAAGCATCCAGTTCTCAAAAAGCATCCAGTTTTCTTCAAAAGGCTCCAAGGCAAGGCTGATTCTTAGCTAGTTAGTCACCGCAGAGACCCAAACGTAAGGACGGGTGAACACAACTTCTGCTCCTTTCTAAAGCTTCTGGTGCATCTCAGCAGCTATCAATCAAGCTGTCCTTTCTAGTTCCTTTCTGACCTGCCTTGACACTTCATATGGAGACTCCTATAGAGATGTTACTGCATTTTCCTTCTGTTTTCTAAACTATAAATCAAAATATTAAAAATTTTTAACTTTCTGAAGCTTCTGTGTCTACCATGGTTTTGCTCCTCAATGATCATTTCCCCCTCCCTCATTTTTCTTTTACAAGAGGAAAAACTCTTTCAAAAACAACAGAATGGGGCTTGCAGAGCCACAGTTGTTCTTCCTTCCTGCAACATCCTTCCCTGGTGCTTTTCTCCTTCCATACACCTACAGAGACACCAGCAGTACAACAGTTAAAAATGAAACACCAGGAGATAATGAAGGTGAAGTAACAGCCATACTTCTACTATTGGACAGCAGTGAAGCAAGCCTGAAGTACACCTTTTCAGGAAGGCTCTCATAAACACACCACAGGCCAGGGGTTACTTTTGCTCAAGCAGATTTTAACTTTTTATTTGATGTTCAGCACAAGAGTCTCAAGAAGTTTGTAAAGTTTTATTAGCCCATTGAGCAGTCCATGTTCTGTTTATCCTGCAATAATTTAATCTTCTGAAGTGTGCAAGTACTGAGAATTGGGGAAAGGACTGTGGATGTTATTTACTGAGGAGGCAGAGCCACAGCACTGAAATTACTTCGCTCAGATGATTACTATGAGATGTATTAAACTCTCGTCTAGTAGCAGTTGCTATGATACAAGGGCGGTGTGAAATGTGAATGGCAGGCTGCCACGCTGTCACAGCACGGAAGGGATTACAGCCCTGGCACTGCCAACACCTGACCATGTCCAACTCTGACAGTCCTAACTGTCACCATGGGCATGTCTGGCTCCTTCCAGGAGAAAAGTGTGGTTGGCACTTACCTTCTCAACACTGCTCATGGCCTGGAAATAGATGTTGTAGCCTTTCCGAGGAGCCAGTGGTGGGTTCCAGAAACCCTGGTAAGTCCTGTTGTCACCCACGGTAAAGGGGGCTGGCTCTGGCAGGTTTCCTGGGGGCAGCTGAGCAGCAAAGTAATACGGCGACCCTCCGTTGAGGGCGGTCTGATAGGTGACAGGGATTTGGTAGCACTCCATGGCACCCGTTTCTCGCTTTGTTCGGTGTGGGTGCAGCTCCTCAACAACAATCTGGTAGGCACTAAGGAGACAGAGGAAAATAAGCATAACTTTAAGGTCATATGCTAAGTCTTAATATTAACCCATTTGCTTTATGTAAACTTAAGAAGAAAATAGAGAAAAACAAAAAGGAAAAGAGAGCAGACACATGGATGCAGAAAAGAAACAAAGGCTTGAAATACAGCACAGCCATCTAAATCAGCCATTGGAAAGAAGCAGCATCCATTCCTTTCAGGAAAAACAAACAATCAAAAAAATTTACACACAGCCTCTTAACAGTGACACATTTATTTATTTATTTATTTTAAAGAAACATAGGAATGAATCTGACTTTAACCTACAATTGATTAAACTCTCGGCTGATCAGAAGCATCTGAAGTTTGCATTTTCTTTTGAAATTATATTACATAGAGCTGAGCTTCAAGGCCCAATATAATGACTGCCTCCAGGCTATGCTTGAAGCACCAATTTCCAGTTGTCATATCATTAGAGACGGAATGTGCTGACAGGCTTCTCCACCTCGTGACCTTGCTGTGGCTTTTATCTTGGCTCAGAGCTATGCAGATCTAAAGTACAAGTGACATGCTGCAATACAAGCACAGATGGACAGAAATCTGTCCATTCCACCAAAATAGGCTGCTTCATTCCTCTACAGTTGTCAATGATAAAATGTTACAAGTTACTGAAGCAGATGGCATTTGGCCTATTAAAACATCACCCCAACCTCCAGATACCTCTCTTGAAATGGTCCATGCTTGGTCACTTTTCAAAATCACCTGCTCAAAATAGAACAGGTAATTATAATTCTTCTCTCTCCTTTAGGGGAACTACCTAACTGCAGTGTGTTACCAACTCATCAGCACCTTCCTCTGCTCTGCAGAAGTACAGAACCCACATATTAATAGCAGAAGGCAATTCTTCAGTTTGTAAGAAGAAAAAGAAAAGATATACACATACGTGTATACATGCATACAACTTCTCATTTATATGCAGACATTTGAGGATCTTATGAAATATTAGTAAGAAAATATGAGTAAGCATGTAGACAAGATTTGAAGCTATTCACTTGAACTGGCAGAATTGCCTATCTTGGTTTTGTCTGAAAGTTTTCTAAATAGAAAAAGTAAAATCGAACAGAGTTCTCAAAGTGTCACTGCGTTGCTGCAGGGACTCAGAAAGGCAAAGGCAATCCTCTTGCTTTAAGAACTTATGGGGCAGCATTAAATTATTTTGTCAATTTTCTCTGCTACTACTGCCCAGAAAACCCAATAACTGTAGTGGCAGAGATGAAGTATGATACTGGGGAATGGACAAAAGGAGAGAAGAAAAAAGTAAGAAATTAGTTTCACATCTTTCTTGAGCTGAAAGAAAAAGTTAACAACCCCTTTTTCTAGTACCTAAAAAAATTAAGGAGGAAAGTCTCTTCCATTTCAAAGTGTCCAAGAGGAATATATGTAGTCACCTCATTTTTTTGAAACGTCAGGTAAAACAAAGAACATAAACAAAAAAAAACCCCAGACAAGTTAGTTCCAGGGATCTCTACTTCTCTGTTCGAACTGAGCTTGCTTATAAATCACCTTCTGTGGTAAACTCAACGTATTAATCATGTCTAGTTCATGTGGCCCGCACCAACAAATCACTTCCACAAGATCCCTGAGCACCCAGAATCTTTATGCTTCAGAATTAATTCACTAGCAAAAAAACAACCTAAAAGCATCAATATTTTACAATCTTAACAGGATGTAAACTATTACAAATAATTTTTTTTTTTTTATAATGTCCCAAGGGAAGTATTAACTACCAGTATTCATTCCTTCCCTGGCCTGGCCTTGGACCCAGGCAGGGTTACAACCACCAATCCCAAACTGGGCAGCCAACCAGTTGGAGAGCACTGGGAACACAGACATCGTGTTTCCGCTCCCTCCATTCCCAGCCTTCTCTCATGAGCTGCCAAAGCACTGGGACCAACACAAATTCTGCTCTCTGAAGTGCCAGGAGATCAGGAAACTTGTCATCTGTAATACCCTGCCAGCTTTGGAGAGGAAAGCCAGCGGAGAGTGGAAGGACAGTGCAACGCCTTCATGGGATGGAGGCATCATCCCCTCAACAGCCCAGCTTGTCACACAGCTCAGAAGCTGAGATCCACCACAGTTACCAAATTAAACCCTCTTCATCCCACTCCCTTTCTCTCCCCTTCCCTCCTGCCATTTTTTAGAATATGGGGTAAATATTTATTTTTTTTTTTTTAAGCCACACCTTCTTTTTAAGGGTCAAATCTCTTTGGAGAACAAATCAAACCAAAAATCAAGGATCAAGGGCATGAGAGTTAAAAATGAGGAAATTCTCTTTTCATAGCATTCTTTAAAAACGCACAGCCATTTTTGAATGTGATATAAAAGGAATGGCAAAGCAATTTAAAAGGAATTTAAATGAAATATGCTTCCAAAACAGTACTTTTGAGTCTCTACATCTGAAAAGCTCCAAAATGTGGAAAATAAGAAATAAATACACACATTGTAGGCATCTGCATTTGTAGGAGCACTTTTGGTTAAATAAAGAATAGAAAATGACAGTAAGTCTTTAAAATTGCAAGTGACACTTTATTTTATATATATATATATATTTAATTTTTACA